GCAGTGGTGCATCCTGACCTGGGACACTTATTTCAAGCAGTTTCTTGCCACTTCCCCCCCGCCCCCCTTACCAAATGCTTGGGGGGGAGGGGGGAGCCATTATGCCCCTCCCTGCTACCAGACAAAACCACCCACACAAAATCATAACAATTGGTGAAGGTGGATTTTTGAGACACTTATTACAGAATTCATAGGTTTTCCAAGAGTCATTATTCTGGACCTCACTGTATATATGTGGGGTTCATTATATATCCCAGTGCCCATTATATGTCCCAGTGCAAAAACACAATGAACAAAGAGATCTGAACCCATCAGCTCTGCTTGAAGGTTTCCACTAGAAATCATCATTTTCTTGCATAGCCACAAACATTAACAAAGGCTGCCAAGACCTGTGAGGAAGATTACACCTTGGTGGCAGCAATAAATATTTATAAATAACATAGAAAACATTTTTTGCTCACCTGCCTGTTTCACCTGAAGTGTATCACTGAGTGTAGCCACTGACAGGAGTTTAGCAACTTTGGGACCAGTTTTTTGCTACTGAAGAGATGTTGTGTTTTTCTTTGCAGCTGGTATAAAGGGCTTTTACTCACATGTATACATCCACAAATATGTATGTAAATAAATTGCCTTTTTTCCGTGCCTTTTCAACGTGTATTGTGAGCATAGGGAAAAACCAGTAGTCCTTTGGGATGTTCTATTTATTGGGAAATTGGTATATTTTCCTTGATTCTTCATACTTTATTTGAATACTTCAAATAAAATTTTAGACAAGTGGATGGAGGTGCATACAGCCTGTGTTCGCATGAGCACGAGTTATAATAGATGCAAAGCGTCAATAAAAAAATAAACTCATGTCTCATTTCCAGTCTTTTTTCCTCTAGAAATGTACTTCTAGCTTTTGGTAAAGTCTGTGGATTTACTGATTGATGTTGTGTATCAAAGCAAAAAGAGAGAATAACTGAAAGGCAGAGTTGCTGGCTAGCACCATTCCTTTAAACTCAGAAAGGTTCATGCTGATATTTTACTGTGCTTTTTGTGTTTTACTTTTCCACTAGCTTTTTGGAGACTGGGAATCTCATTTGCGAAGGATAATGAAGTTGCTTGCTGGTGGAGGATTGTCCATCACAGGATCCCACCACATGTGCGGCGACTATCTGTACAGCGGTCACACCGTCATCCTGACGCTTACATACTTATTTATCAAAGAGTGTAAGTTTGTTACTGTTCATGTGGAATTTCCTGGTGTGTAATTCATTGCTAATTGAAGAATTATTGTTGTGCTGCTTGGTAAATACAATTAAAGTAAAAATACATACTTTTTCAATTAAATAAAAATAGTAGAACTTCAAAGACATAGGGCTTGCTGAAAAATAAAACTTTGGAGACAAACTAAAACACTCATCCTGTAGATCTCTGAATTAAGGATTTCATTTCAAAACAATTTTGTTTAGAATATAATTTAAGGCTTCATTGCACCATGCCTCATGAATGATATTTCAACTACGCGTCTCCTCGTCTGGAGAGAGATGAGTGCCACACTAAACGCAAGGTTGCTCATTTTGCAAGAATCAGACCTTAATGTATGCATTTCTCTTTTATGAAATTGATTGATTGATGAATGCATACGATGGGTTTTATGAAATGGAATAAGAGGAATGGATTACCCTCTGTGTAGAATCAATATTAAAATACAAATCAGTTAATTCTACTCAGCAGGGTATATTTTTATGCATTGGGCCTGTTTCTCAGAGATTTCATAACCTTTCTTTTTTCGAAGGACCTGAGTACCCTGGAGTATAATTTTAAGTTACGTCTTAAGAGAGTGATACCTCTCTTGTGATGTCAGCGTTCCTGCTCTTAATCTTACTGCTCACCCAGGATTGCAGTCCTTGTCCTCTGTTAACTGCACCAACAGTCTTACGTGCTGATAATGTTACGCTTTGAAATAATCACTACTTGTGCTTCTTTCCAGATTCCCCACGGCGACTCTGGTGGTATCACTGGCTTTGCTGGGCGCTCAGCATGATTGGGATGTTCTGCATCCTCCTTGCTCATGACCACTACACTGTGGACGTGGTGGTGGCTTACTACATCACTACAAGACTTTTCTGGTGGTATCACACAATGGCCAACCAGCAAGTAAGTTTCTCCCACTTGTTAGATCCATGTGGCTCTGCTTGCCGTAGCGCAGTGGTTGGTGAATTTCCACATTTTACTTTGAGCCTCTCTGCAGAGGTGGGAGTGGACTCAACCCGTGTCTTGTGGAGGATCCCTCTCTCCCCTCCTCACCTTGTTTTTTCAGGAAAGAAAAAGGTGTCATTGGTTGGGTTCATCTTGCCTCTTGACCACAAAAATATCTGCAGGTCTACCCGCAGGCAGGCCTCCCTGCTTCCACTGTGTAACCTCCATTTTTGAAGTTCTCCTGAATTTGGGTCAGTTGGCCAGTCTTGTCATAGCAGAAGAAACCGTTTAAATGTGGTAGAGTTTTTTTTGCCTTGATTGTGTTTTTGGTTTTTTGTTTTTCTTCGTTTTTTTTTTTTTTAAGCCAACTGGGTTTTCTTTGTGTTCTGTGGCTTGTGCCCTTTAGTTAGATGCCACCTCTCTTGAAGAATAGTGTGAGACCTCACTAAAAATGAGCCATTTTTTCAAAATGTTTCCAAATGGCAGTAAGTTCCCCTGTCCAAGGGAAATGTTTTCCTTTTGGTGAACATCAGAGAACAGGCTGCTTCTGTCCTAAGGCCTATGTCCGGGAAGGCAGGAAAAATACGGTGATGAGGGAATACTGAGAGTGAGTACTGGAGAGCAGTGGTAAATGATTCAAAGGTCAAATTAAGAAGTCTAAATGAGGTCTCATGTCATTCTTGTTGTTACTACTTTCCTGCTGGTGAACTAGAGATGAGCTTACAGTGCTGAGGAATTGTAAGAGAGAAAATGCACAAGTCTGCTATCTATGGGAAAGACCTAGCGAGCTAAGAGGAACTTATTCGTAGGTCTGTAACAGCAAATTCGTGTCTGAATATTTTCTGTGCAACACAGAGAAGGAGAATGCAACATAGAGAAAGCAACCTGGGCTAGTGGGAGGTGTCCATGCCCATGGGAGGGGGCCTTGGAACTTGATGATCTTTGAGGTCCCTTCCAACCCAAACCATTCTGTCATTCTATCATATTTTGCTTATCTGTTGTATGTGACTCCAGTTAATTATATTTTAGAAATACTGAAGTATGATGGTAGGAAAGTAGTTAATTTCATGATGGTACAGATTTTTTAGGTCATACCAAGGTCGCCTAGCTATGATGTCATATTATTCCAGTGGATCTGGTGCTACTTGAAGCAATACACCACAGTCAAGCCCTGTGGTACGTTGTTATCACCAAATGCCCAATTGCAAATAATGTGCTTTGATATTAAGTCAGTCAGGGAACCACTGTGTTCGATAGCAGTCTGTGCCCAGGCTTTAACTCTTGTCATACAGCACCAGAGTGACTTCTACACCTTTGGAATTTTTTCCTGGGCTCTGTTGAAACAATGGTGCTGAGTGGCTGTGTGGCTGTGCTTACAAGCTGGAAGCTGCTGGAGTCACAATTGCTTTGAGTGCTAATGAGAACATGCTTCAGAAAAGCCCTTTGCCTTGCTGTATGGAAAAGGACTTGTTTAGCTGCATGACATGGCTCAGAAGATGGCTCAACTTTGCTTCCTGAAGCTGCAGAGACGTTAGGAAATGCTGATCCCTGGATCATTTGTATGCTAGTCTCTCCCTGCTGGTGCTGCTCCATGTGCAGAGGGCTTGTGTTTGATGTTAAAAGCAAAAGCCTACTAGGGCTACAGTGGGTTTGTTTTCCACGTGAGTTTATGACATGGAAAGAAAGGTTAGCATACAACCCCCATGCTTGCACTTTCTGGTGGGCTGATACAATTCTTCCCTGCTCTGGCCTTGCAAATGTGCAGCCGGGTAGCTGGAGAACTCCCTCCGTGCCTACCTGCTCTTGTGTCTCAGCTGTGGCTTGCTTGTGGCCAAGAGAAGCAAAAGGGTGGATGGGGACAGTTTGAGAGACGTGGAGGGTAGGACAGGGCTTGTCACCTCCGCCGGATGGGTTGAGGCATGCCTTGGTCGTTGCTCTGTAGGCACACAGCCAGACTCCAAAGCAATTCTTGAGCGACATGGAATTTCAGAGATATTTACAGAAACAACTGTCCTTTGGGTTGAGGTTTAATAGTTTTTTTTCATTTCCAAAGCAGAGGAGAGGGATCTTTTGGACTGTTCATTCTTTTCCTATGGGACCAATGAACAGTGGAGGTCTTGGAAATGAGGGTGAGCCTCACTTGAGAGCAACATTTGGAGTGCTCAGAGAGGCTCTGGAAAAGTAGCTTGGCTCTTCTTCATCCTTGTCCATGCAGATCTGGTTTGGAGGCATTTCTAGATACCAGGAGATTTTTGGAAGCAGCTGTAAGCAAGATGCCACAGAGGAACGGTAGCAAGCGACGTGCAATGAAGTCGTGCAATTAAGTGACGTGCTCTTTTGTAATTCCTTTTTTTTTTTTTCTTTTCTTCTTTTTTCTGATTATCTTTGTGCAGGTACTAAAAGAAGCTTCCCAAACTAACCTCCTTGCAAGGGTCTGGTGGTACAGGCCCTTCCAGTACTTTGAAAAGAATGTCCAAGGAATTGTACCTCGCTCCTACCACTGGCCCTTCCCCTGGCCGGTGCTGCACCGGGGCAGGCAGGTGAAATACAGCCGCCTGGTGAATGACGCATAACAGTGAGTCTACGGACAAAATAGGGTGGGGAAGGACCTGTCCCAAGTGCTAAGAACTCCGAGAAGATGCCATAAAAAAATAAATCAACTGCTCCCTAACCCTTTCTTTTAACAGTTCCCTTGACTTAACCTATTCAGTTACCTGGTAAGCACTGTGATCTTTTTTTCTCTCCAAAGGATCTGCATTGGACAACAATAAAGAAAATATAACTTAACATGTACTGTTATACATTTCTTGTTAGTAGATTTGGGATTTCCATTTCCCCATCACCATGTTCCTTTGTATAGAATGCGACAGCATAAATGAAAGCTTTTATATCATAAGTTCTGGTCTTTCCAGTCACGTCTGGGAATAAAGCATATTATTTTCTTGGGAAAACATACTTTTCATATCTCTTGCCCCAAAGATTGGGCTGTAAGCCATTTTCTAGCAAATTACTATATGAAGGTTTCTAAATACCTGCCTTGGGTAAAATCGAGAAATCTTTCTACCTGTTGCACTGCGCTACTAATGAGATGATAGACACAGGAAGGTTTGATAATCTTTGATTTTGTAGAATCTGCAGTGACTGTGTCAAAACGTGCAAAAAAAAAAAAAAAGAAGAAAAAAAAGTTGTAAAGTTATTTTCTAAGTATTTCCTAACTTTATTTTTCAAAATGTGTATGAAAATTAAATTTAAAAAGATTTTTACATGTCAGAGAATAGAGAGTTAAAATTTAAAGAAAAAGCTTCTTGGGAGAGAGAGAGATTTGTCTATGTTTCTAGTGCCTTTCTTGTCTTGATTGTATGGTCAGTAGGCAGTCTTAAATGTTTTTATTTAAAATAAAGTATTCCATGAAAGCAGAGTTATATATACTGTATAATTACTAATTTTTGCATTTATAGCTAAATTAAACTGGAAATTTGCTTCTAATGTTGAAATGGCCAAAATGTAGGGAAGAAAACCAAACAAAAAGGGTCCGATCTGGCTCACACATTGTGGGCAGGTCACACTAGAAGGTATCACTTTATTGTCTACTTGGTAGCTAGATTTTAAAGAGAAAAAACAGCCATGAATTCCTGTTTTTTAAGAATTTTACTATGAAATTTAACTATGAATGGTTTCTCCATCCCCTATTGAAATGTTGTTGCAAAACAACAAAGAGAATCTACTTCTTTAAAATATTTGTGCAGAAACTGCATGTAGCTCTAAGTTTTTCACTCCTACCATACATACTGTATGTTTGGGGAAGTATTCTATCCTAAACTTGCCAATGTGCAGAACAAAATAATTTT